AACTAACCAGGTTTGTGTCAGATAAAAAAACTTCTGTGACTTGTCCCTGAAACTATAACTAATATATCGTACATCTATTCACCCTGAAAAGGAAGCTTATTTAAATATCTTGTTTGTTTGTTTTTAATTATGCACAAAGCTACACAAGGGCTATCTGTGCTCTGCCCACCACGAGTATCAAAACCTGGTTTCTAGTGTTGTAAGTCCGCAGACATACCGCTGTGCCACTGGGGGGCATTTAAATAATTCTAAATTCTGACAGGTAACTTATGCAACACAGAAATTTTAAAGTAATCATTATGTAATGAAGTTTTAAAAAAATGTTTTTTACAAAGGGAAAAATAACGTGATTTTATTAATCTTTGCTACATGATGATTGGCTCCATTTATATGACATTAAAAGATTGCATTTATAAGCCAACTTATATTATCATACTTAAATTCTTAAAATAGACTGCTGTTAATTAAAGTTGGGCAAGTTCCTAAAGAAATGGAAAGGATAATCAAGAAGTTATAAACAAATTGACTTACTACACATATAAAAGATCAGGGATAAATATCATTAGTTAGATATGATGGAAGACGAACAAGACTACCAGAAGGCTTGGGATTTGGTTGAAATTAGGAAATCTAGAAGAGCTTACGAGAAACAGCTGGTTGATAATGTTAAACCTAACAGCAAGACTCTTTTTAACAGAATGTTAAGTGTAAGCAAAATGTTAAAATAAGGATGCTAATGACAAGGGTTATATGCAAGACTACGAAACAGCCGAGCTTTTAAGTTTCTTCTCTTCTATGGGAAATACTACAACTGACCTTTGGTGCTAAGTAGAAAGGTTGATAAAGTAAAAATAGATAAATCATCAGGGCAAGACAAGGTTCTCTCCAGGGTTTTAAACAAGATATATGAGCCTCTCTCCTTCCCTTTTGATTAGTAAACAGTAGGCAGGTATCAGAGGCTTCGAGAGTGACTAACATTACACCTATTTTTAAAGGAGGTGATAAAAGTTGCCCTGGATATTAAATTTAAAAGCAAGTTAGCTTTATTTCTCTAGTGAGTAAAATTCTAGAATCTCATAAAAGATGCTTTAGAAATCATTTAATGAAATATGATATCACACAAAAAAGCTAATATAGATTCATCAAAGAGAAATCTTGCTTTACTAACCAGTTATCTTTTTTTTTGAGAAAGTTACTTGTTATCTGTATTTGCAAAGGAAAAGGTGTAGAGTTGGTGTACTTAGATTTTCAAGAAAACATTTTATAAGATATCAAACAAAAAATTAGCTAAGAAAATCACATTGGTATGGGTTGGAGAAAGCAAAAGGTCAGTAGTGAAGTCCAGTCAAACTGTATTCTTGATACTAGTGGAATGCTTTAGGGGTCAGTGCATGAGCCTTTGCTTTTTGTTACTTATATTAACAATATTGATAAAGACATAATTTGGAAATTAATAAAGTCTAAATGGGTATTTCTAGCTGTTGAAGTATTACAAAATAACTTGATGAATTTGCAAGTTGGATATATATTTGTCAAACAAACTTTGATTAGAGGAAGTGCAAGGTTATGCATTTGGAACATCATAATTCAGACCACACTTAATATAGATGGTAATCAACTCAACAGTGAGATTGAAGAAAAGGATCTTGGAATTGTGGTGGATAAGTCATACAAACTATCAAAGCAGTGCTTTGTTGTTGACAGCAAAGCTAGCAGAATTTTAGGGTGTGTGTGTGTGTGTGTGTATATATATATATATATATAAACATACTGATTACAAGTCAAGAGGTAATAACCTCTCTACACAAATCACTGGTTAGGCTTCACTTGGAATACTGTGTACAGTTTTTGTCTCCATATCGAAGGAAGAATATTGAATATTGGAAAGAGCTCAGAGGAGGGTTACTAGGATGAATCCTCAATCTTACAGGAACAGGTTAAGATCTATTAACTTTGTTTCTCTTAACAAAAGAAGAGATGATAAAGGTGATCTTACTGAAGTTAAAAGATGTTCCAGAGATTTGGTAAAACAAAGGCCATTGACTTCTTTGTGCTACATTTTGAACAATACTACAAAAGTATAAGGGATCACAAGCTTAAGATTTGGAAAAGATAGACTAAGCTTTAATTAAGACAGTTTTATTCTTTTTAATATTGTGATTGTTTTAATAAATAGTTGCTGTTGGCAGTAATGGAGGCCTAAACATCAATGAAGTTTAAGTGAGAAATTGATGAATTTCAGAAAATAAAAAGAGGGTTCCAATTTTTACTTTTATCAAGGGTGGATTTACAAGAACAGGCCTGAATGACCAGATAGTTACCTGGTTCTTTATATTGTAGTTATATCTTTTACACTACATAATATTAAAAATTACACCATAGCACACATTACAATATATATCCCAAAACTACTTTGTCATGATAGCCAATATACTGTATATATATCTTAGGAACAAGTTGGCTACCCAAAACAGAATATTATACTACAAAACTCATTAACACTGAAACAAAACCCAATTTTGTTTTGTTTTTAATTATAATTATATGAAATTCACATTTCATAGCTTTTAAAATTTATATTTAAGATTTTTAATTTTCATCATGTGTTTTGATATTGCCAGAGAATCTGTACTTATTAGTGTAAATTATAATCAGTAGTATAACTACAAAAGTTGGCCCCTCCCCTGCATAAAAAGTCATTGGGCCCCCTATATTTATTCCCCTTGTCGGCAATTCTTCGGTTTGTCAAGCCCACCGGCAATTGCGGGGGCATATTTAGGCCAATGATTATAATACAGATTGCAGCCAAGTCCCAAATTACGGTCAAAGTTGTATAAATTATTAAATGGCCGAAAAACTAGAGACTAGTGATTAACGCTGATGTCAGTATGGACTAAATAACGGTTCAACTTAAAATTACACTGATTTATTGATTTAACTTACAATATTGTCACTGTGTTAATAATAGGTTTATTGTTAAGCAAAAATACACGACTTACACTTTGTCTGTAATTTCCCGAACTTTCCACATTTTCTTCTACTCAAGTACGTAAAATTAAATTCGGTGTTAAATAAATCAATTTTGAGCTGTACAAAATTTAAAAATTGAAGTAAGATAGCCTTCCACCTTCAACACACCTGACCTTCTATGCAATCTATTGGTAAAATATTGAACTACTTAATTTAGTGAAATGTTGGATATTTGGTTTACTTGTAATAACGATGAAGTTTAGTTTTTCGCTAATAATTTGATCTAGACTATTTCAATTTCATGTATTAAACTACTTAATTATGTGATAATAGTAAACTTGATTATAATAATTATGGTATTCAAGCTGATATTTAAAAACAATAATTTTAGTACTTCTGGTTCTCACATTTGCGCAACAGCTTATTTAATTGGATAACTTTGTTTGTCGTTTAAACAAAAGCCTGCATAATAGGTTATCTGTCTTCTGTTTACCGCGGGTATCTAAACCCGGTTTTTAGCGTTATACGCCCACAGACTTTAATAAGATAAGACGGAACGCTACAATATTACTTTGTTTATATTGTTTCAGCTATGCTATGCTACTTTAACTCGTGAATGCTAATAAGAACATTTTTACAGGTAACTGAGAAAAATTATTTGTTACCATAAAAATGTAAAGAAAAATATGTTCACGCTAACGTGACGTAAATTAAAACAGGATTATTTTTTGTATAGTTTTAACCTCATAGCAACAACAGTTACAAAGAAAAACCTTAAAAGAGACTCGAATTGAATAATCATTGAAAATAGTTAAAGTGATATTACTTAGGTTCGGCTGAACTTATGGGAAGCTATAATGCAAAGACATAGGATTACACAGGCCTGCTATGGTTTTATTGTCTTCAAAATTTTACATGTTCTATGGTAATTCCTGTACACTGGGTCTAAAAATGATATCCATTTCTCTCCATCACGTACAGATTTTTCACAAAACGTCATAACGAAATACATAAAAGAAAGACCACAACACGTAGTTTTGACACTAAATGACGTAGATTTCATACACACAAAAAATCAGGATGAATGAGGATGCATATTCGTTTGACATTAATTTTCTTCCCTTTTCTTCAGTTTGTTTGTATTTTTGTTAACAGACATAATAATAAAAAAATTTTCATTGTGGTCAACGAAATAATAATTTGATCTAGGTAAGAGTTTTTTATCTACCCGATTCGTAAATAATCCATACGTGATAGAAACAAAATTAATATTAGTTTCGAAATCTGCGTAGCGGAACTATGGAAAATCCGTTATTAAAACCAAAACATCTTTTATGAAGTCTAAATTTGCAGGCCTGTGTTATTTTTAAAAGTACCGAACGCGAAACATATATATTACATCTAAAAGGAGATACGCGAGAAAATATTAAAAAAATAATTAAGAAGCCTCTAGCCTGGATAAAGTGCTAAAGAATAAGGATTTTATCCATCTTACTCTAATCCCAGCCCCCTCCCCCAATGGTACAGCGGTATGTCGGGGGATTTACACCGCTAGAAACAGTTAGCCCATTGTATAGTTTTGCGCTTAACTACAAACAAACTCTAACCCCAGATTTTAGAATAAATGCAGAATACCTAATGTACGAATAAAGGCTGTAAAATATGTTTCTTTACTAACAGTAGCAACGACTAACTCTGCTAAGTTTGAAATATTAGGTTAAAAACTTTATTACTAATATTATTATTTTAGCACAATCTTAGCAAGTTTCACAGATAATGAAGTAACAATTGTTATTTTTCGTTATAATTTATGTTTATATATTTTTCTTTTTGTAATTTAGTTCATCTACATTTTTATTTGCCTTGTACATTAGCTCATCTGCATCCTAGGGAAAATTAATTAGTAAGAATGATTTTTGATGGACGCCAACACAAGGTTACCCTAGCGGTAACTAGGATACTAAGTTCATGTGAAACAAATGCTAATTTATTAGTCACGTGACATATAATCTGTGAGGTACTATATTTAACAAAATAAATTATTGTAAATGTTGTTTTTCTTCATTATGGATATAATATTAGTTTTTAAAAACATCTAACAATCTTTTACGTACCTAATAAAATATGTTTTTCCTTCCTGGTTATTTTTTCATAAACTTATTATTATTATTTTGTGATTTGCTATTAATGTTTTCACTACGCTTTATGTTTGAGATTATGAAAGTTAGTTACAAAATTTTGGCCAAATACTTAATTATTGATTAATATTTTGTATTATTAGTAAACTCGTAATTTATCATATTCTGGTAGTAACGCGGATATTTCATACATTAAAAGCTTCTCCCCCTACCCTTAACACATATTTCAAATCATTCTTTATACGATGAGTTGTTACTTTAACCCATAGTGCATATTTCAATAGTTTTCGTACCACCTGTTGCATTAACCTAATTAAGTAACAACTGAGCTGTAACTATACGTAGTGGTGTAGTCGGGAATAAACGTCTACCTGATATAACGTTTTTTCACGCTCTCACGGTAAGCAATTTATACGAATGTCAAGGGTTAAAGGCATATTCCAGTTCGGGGATATCTTGTAGGAGACTGAAGCTGGGTACAATATGTATGTATGTCCCGACATATAAACAGTGCAAGGAAGAAAGAAGTAACCAGCTATCGTAGCGCCATCTTCCGAATAATATATGACCTAAAGTAAATTTTATCGTCATGAAAGAAGGTTATTCTTGGGAATGCAATAAAATGTTTAATTAAGTATAACGCGAAGATAATAAATATTCAGTATTTCAGCTTTAAAACATATTCAAATCCTTAAACCTAATGGTTTAAATTGATTAAATGATTAGTAGACATAACAGAAGCGAAAGGACACAGACTGTCGCCTTCCAAGCTCGAGTTTTGAAATAAACACTTGGTTCTCCCTGTCGGTAAGAGTACGTTCAACATTAGCTTGTAAATACATAAACACCAGTCCTCCTAAGGGTCCCCTTGATGGTTCAGCGGTGAGTCTGAGGAGTTGTAACGTTAAAAATCGGGTTTCGTTACCTGCAGTAGGTTGAACGCAGATAGCACATTGTGTAGCTTTGCATTTAACAACAAACAAACCCAAAAAACTAAAATTTTAAGAGCTGAATTGAATGGGGGGGGGGGGGTGTGAATAAATTACAAATTAAACAAAAAACACTTCTTTGTTTGTTACACAAAGCAACACAACGGGCTACCTGTGCTGTGCCCACCACGACTATCGAAACCCGGTTTTTAGTGTTATAAGCCTTCAGACTTATCGTTGAGCCACTGAGAGGGGTTCCCTCTAAGAAACTATTGGGTTCGAAATACCAAATATGTGACTGTTATCAACTTATATTATTCAAACAAGCACGTTGGTCTATTTGTGAGTAAAAAACAAACCACGTCGATAACAAATTAATAATAAATTATATCGTAATGATGTTATTTTGAATTATAAAAATAAATATTACAAATAGTTATATAGATAACATGATACGAGTACAGGACGAATATTAGTTGACTTTTCAATCAGTTTTAAATTTCTGTTTGTAATTGTGGCTACTTGAATAAGTGACCAGTTCTTCTTGATATTTTAGATTTAAAACTGTACATATTCAATATGTTAAAGAAAAGGTTTTGGTTTCGTTATTTGTGGGGCACTTCCAAATCTGAATTTGTGACAATTTTGTGTTGCTAATAAAATGTTTTCTTTTCATATTAGATCATTTTTAACGTATACTACAAAATTCAGTTAGTTTTCAAAAACTCTATTCTGTATCGCATGTTTAAAAAAGCTCACAGACTGTAAGTTATTCAAGGACAGCCACATTGTTGTAAGCCTTATCAATATGTCTACTTCTGCGAACAAGGGTCACTAGATTATTAGTTTGACTAACACATTTATCCGCGACAGTGAGAGCTAAACCCTGAGCACCACCTCTACGGTCGAACCGAACGTTCGTAGACCACCTGTACGGTGTGGAACAGATCGTAGCGGAAACAACGTCATTCAGATCGCAGCAGAACCTAACAAAATAGAGGAGTTCCTTGAAGTCAGTCAATAGCTGAGATCTCGAGTTACCAACACCTGCCCGGCTCAGTCAGGGTGTCTTCTATACAATAGGAAAACAAACAGACATTAAGTGCTTTTCCCTGTGCTGCACGGCGAGAATATTGCCGTTCTGTCGAGACGAGAAACATCGTCATAGTTCGCGGCGTGTGTGTTTAACCCGTTATGTCAATACGTAGAGCTTCAGACCGCATATCTCCAATATATATAACATTAGACTACCGATTTCAATAGCTCTTTTGGTTGTAATTTCTTAATTAAATATTGCGTGATTTGCTCGAAAAATACAAAGGAAAGAATGGATAGCGAAACTACTAGTGAAGAGAAGATAAGTTAAGCTTCACAAATGGAACAGGAAGACAGTACATCTGCGTATAAGTTCACTTCCGGTGTAAGAGAAGTGTCGCGACGTTGATGCAAGCACCGAAATAATGTGTGAAATATTTTCAATCATTCGAATGTTATGTCTGTCTGTTACTAAGCTAATAAGCAAGTGAAATAGTTGTCTTCGATACCCGACACCGTGAACTGATTTAAATGGCCGAGTTGATCCGTCAGTATAGCTGGACACGTTTTGGATCCATCATCAACAACCTTCCAAAAAAAGGTAAGTGAGGGTCTTCTTAAATTAAAAATAGCGAACCACGTGAAGTCAGTCAAGGGATGTTTCAGTAATAATTACTATATTCGAGTCATTAATTGTAATTTATGTTTCGCTAGAGTAATGGAAATTTTGTCACCTCGGTTCAAGAATCTAGGGCCACAATACTGTGGATTTGGTTTACCATTATTTTCAAAAAGCATTTGATAAGGTGCCTCACAAAAGATTTGTTACAAAAATGAAATCTGTGGGTGTGGAGGAAAGGTTATTAAATCGGATAAAAAAATTGGCTGGAGAGTAGAAAGCAGAGAGTAGTAATAAATGGAGTTAGATCTGACTGGATCACAGTTACAAGCGGTGTGCCTCAGGGCTCTGTGCTGGGTCCTCTGTTGTTTGTAATTTATATTAATGATATTGACTCTCAAAATTGACCAACGAAATTTTGAAGTTTCCAGATGACATTAAGATTTTTGGGGTGGCTAACTGTATCAAAGATGCTGCAGACTTACAGGGAGATTTAGATCACTTGATG